CAGCCTCCTCCACCAGCGTCTTAACAGCCTCCTCCACCAGCGTCTTAACAGGCTCCTCCACCAGCGTCTTAACAGCCTCCTCCACCAGCGTCTTAACAGGCTCTTCCACCAGCGTCTTAACAGCCTCCCCCACCAGCGTCTTAACAGCCTCCTCCAACAGCGTCTTAACAGGCTCCTCCACCAGCGTCTTAACAGCCTCCTCCACCAGCGTCTTAACAGCCTCCTCCACCAGCGTCTTAACAGGCTCCCCCACCAGCGTCTTAACAGCCTCCTCCACCAGCGTCTTAAGAGCCTCCTCCACCAGCGTCTTAACAGGCTCCTCCACCAGCGTCTTAAGAGCCTCCTCCACCAGCGTCTTAACAGGCTCCTCCACCAGCGTCTTAACAGCCTCCTCCACCAGCGTCTTAACAGGCTCCTCCACCAGCGTCTTAACAGGTTCCTCCACCAGCGTCTTAACAGGCTCCTCCACCAGCGTCTTAACAGCCTCCTCCACCAGCGTCTTAACAGCCTCCTCCACCAGCGTCTTAACAGGCTCCTCCACCAGCGTCTTAAGAGCCTCCTCCACCAGCGTCTTAACAGGCTCCTCCACCAGCGTCTTAAGAGCTCCTCCACCAGCGTCTTAACAGCTCCTCCACCAGCGTCTTAACAGGCTCCTCCACCAGCGTCTTAAGAGCCTCCTTACCAGCGTCTTAACAAGCCTCCTCCACCAGCGTCTTAACAGACTCCTCCACCAGCGTCTTAAGAGCCTCCTCCACCAGCGTCTTAACAGGCTCCTCCACCAGCGTCTTAACAGGCTCCTCCACCAGCGTCTTAAGAGCCTCCTCCACCAGCGTCTTAACAGCCTCCTCCACCAGCGTCTTAACAGGCTCCTCCACCAGCGTCTTAAGAGCCTCCTCCACCAGCGTCTTAACAGGCTCCTCCACCAGCGTCTTAACAGGCTCCTCCATCAGCGTCTTAAGAGGCTCCTCCATCTGCGTCTTAACAGGCTCCTCCACCAGCGTCTTAACAGGCTCCTCCACCAGCGTCTTAACAGGCTCCTCCACCTGCGTCTTAACAGGCTCCTCCACCTGCGTCTTAACAGGCTCCTCCACCAGCGTCTTAACAGACTCCTCCACCTGCGTCTTAGCAGCCTCCTCCACCTGTCCCCTTAAGGGGGCAGGTGGAGGAGTCTGTTAAGGGGCAGGTGGAAGAGCCTGTTAAGGGGGCAGGTGGAGGAGTCTGTTAAGGGCAGGTGTAGGAGCCTGTTAACAGACTCCTCCACCTGCCCCCTTAACAGGCTCCTCCACCTGCCCCCTTAAAAGACTCCTCCACCTGCCCCTTAACAGGCTCCTCCACCTGCCCCTTAACAGCCTCCCCTACCTGCCCCTTAACAGCCTCCTTCATCTGCCCCTTAACAGGCTGGCCCGTGATTAATTCCCTTAGCTGTTCCTTAATACTCTTCCTTACCTGCCCCTTTAATTCTCTCGAATATCACAACACACACATTATAATATATATATATAAATATAAAATATATATATAATATTATATATTATAATAATATATATTTATTTATTTTATTATATATTATATATAAAGAGCATTTACAAGTCCTAGTTGATAAAAAGCTTTCCTTAAGATGCGGTCAAAATAAAGCTCTCCCCAGAGCGAAATGTTGTTCCAATTAACTAGCTTCTGGAGTGAAACGTCGTGCCATTAAAATTTTTTTTTTTTTTTTTTTTTTTACTAAAGATGCGTCTTCGTTTTGTCCAGTGGTCAAAGTTGTCAAAGTTTGTGAGAAACGTTGAACCTCACTGAGGGTGACACGGAGCTTCCAGTGTCAAAACACTGAGGTGGAACCTCACTGAGGGTGACACGCAGCTTCCAGTGTCAAAACACTGAGGTGGAACCTCACTGAGGGTGACACGGAGCTTCCAGTGTCAAAACACTGAGGTGGAACCTCACTGAGGGTGACACGGAGCCTCCAGTGTCAAAACACTGAGGTGGAACCTCAGAGGGTGACACGGAGCCTCCAGTGTCAAAACACTGAGGTGGAACCTCACTGAGGGTGACACGGAGCCTCCAGTGTCAAAACACTGAGGTGGAACCTCACTGAGGGTGACACGGATCTCTCAAGCATTGTTCCGGTGTCGTCTCAGACATGAATATTCATGTCTTTACAATGACCTGGCGGGAACAATATAAAATGAATTGCTCATTTACATACTGTTTGTGGGAGGTGAATACTTGTTGAGGTGAGGTGGGTGCTGTTACTAGCAGTTTAGTGGTGGTGATCGTGGTGGTGGTGGTGGTGGTGGTGGTGGTGGTGGTGGTGGTGGTGGTGTGGTGGTGGTGGTGGTGGTGTGGTGGTGGTGGTGGTGGTGGTGGTGGTGGGTGGTGGTGATCGTGGTGATCGTGGTGATCGTGGTGGTGGGTGGTGGTGGTGGTGGTGGTGGTGGTGGTGGTGTGGTGATCGTGGTGATCGTGGTGATCGTGGTGGTGGTGGCGGTGTGTGGTGGTGGTGGTGGTGGTGGTGGTGATCGTGGTGATCGTGGGTGATGCGTGGTGGTGGTGGTGGGTAGTGGTGGTGGTGGTGGTGGGTGGTGGTGGTGGTGGTGGTGGTGGTGGTATGCGTGGTGATCGTGGTGATCGTGTGGTGGTGGTGGTGGTGGTGGTGGTGGTGATCGTGGTGATGGGGTGTGGTGGTGGTGGTGGTGGTGGTGGTGGTGGTGGTTGGGTGGTGGTGGTGATGGTGGTGGTGGTGGTGGTGGTTGTGGTGTGGGGTGGTGGTGGTGGTGTGGTGGTTGGTGGTGGTGATGGTGGTGGTGGTGGTGGTGTGATCGTGGTGGTGGTGGTGGTGGTGGTGGTGGTGGTGGGGTGGTGGTGGTGGTTGTGGTGGTGGGATGGTGGTGGTGGTGATGTGTGGTGGTGGTGGCTGGTGGTTGTGATGGTGGTGGTCTGGGTTGTGTGGTGGTTGTGATGGTGTGTTGGTGTGGTGGTGGTTGTGATGTGGTGGTGGTTGTGATGGTGGTGGTGATGTAGTGGTGGTGTGTGTGATGGTGGTGGTGGTGGTGGTGGTTGTGTGGTGATGGGATGGTGATGTGGTGGGGTGGTGGATGTGTGGTGGGTGAGGTAGGGAGAGATACTGGTGCTAAATTGGATGGTCCTGTGTCTGAGATGTTTTAATAATAATAATAAAATAATAATAATAATAATAATAATAATAATAATAATAATAATAATAACAATAATAATAATAATCTTTATTTTTACGAGTACATGATACATAAATGACATACTATATAGAAAGCCCCCTTATTATGCAGATCATAATGGTGGTTGTAAGCATACCACACCAACACCACTACGGACACTATACATCACTCTGGCACCACTGAAACAAGTGCCTGGCGTGAGTAGCCTCACTTATCTTAAGGAACACTAACACAGTATGCGCGTGTACTGAAGGCAGGTCCTTGGTGATAGCATTACCAGCCCTAACTTAATTACTCTCCCCTCCTACACTAAAACACATTCTTACGATATTTAAACGCAACTTCCACAAAACTAAGTTTAAGGTAAAAACACTCTGGCAAAGAGTTTCCAGAGTAATGCACTTGACAGATACCATTCTAAACGCAACAATCAGTTTCTATGTCGGAACTGTACATGTATGGTACACAATACTGACAAGATGAAGAATCAGACACGTGTGCAACATCTGGGTATCTTTATTTGTAGACGTTTATCCATCCAGTGGCGGAATCATCGATACCATGCCTAACCCTTTTTGGGCAGGGTAGGTGCCTGAGCCCGAGCCTTTAGCTCATAAGACTGTCCTTCCCATTAGTCCCCTTGGGGCGGGGATGGCAGACCAGAGAGGCCTAGCTTGTGGCTAGGCCTGGGGACAGTTGGTCCCAAAGATGAGGTACTTGTGCCTCCTCCCATGGGAGACTTAGGTCTCAGACACTCCCTAAAGAGGGAGCCAAGGCCGGGCCACCACTTGGCAAAGGCCCGGGCCGGGAGAATACCGGCGAATCTTTAATAATAAATAATAATAACATCCAGTGGCTTTATCAGTATAAATTCAAGGACATAACTGGAAGACAGTAGAACTATATACAAAAGATGAGGTAATCAGTCCCTCAGTCTTAGAACTAGTGAACAATAACGTAGTCTTGAAGACTGAAGCACAGTCATGAAGACTGATGACTCAGAGTCTTCAACACTGAGGGACTGATTACCTCATTTACTGCATATACTTTTATTGTCTTCCCATTATATCCTTAAATTTGTATTGGTAAAGCCACTGGATGGCGAAACGTCTAGAATAAAGATACCCAGATGCTGCACATGACTGTGGGATTTACCTGTTCATTACAAACCACGAATGACGAGAAGTCAGGAAATCCATATATTTTACAGTAACAATACTGCGACCAGCCGGGGATCGAACCCGAGTTATTTAACCAGAGAATTTATCCAGCTTCCCGGGAGGCGGGTTAAATAACTCGGGTTGGATCCCCGGCTGGTCGAACTATTGTTATTTTCTTAAAAGCCGCTTGTTTCGTTGATGCATTAAACAGTTTATAATATGGAGGATGGCTAGAAAACCTCTCACCAGACTTCTCAGGGCGAAACGTTTCATTGAATAAATGTCCCAAGGTGTACATAATTGTTCTTTTCCACAGTCTGTTATTTTCATATGAACAGCGTCAGTCGATCTGAACAGGCAGGGACGGGAGCTACAGCTCGCTCTGAACTCTGATAAACAAAATACAAATACATCGGCACTGGAGGGGTAAGCCAGCAAAAGTCCTCGATCAGACAACCAAAAGCTCCAGCTGGTGGTCGTCACACGGCTAAGACCCGCGACAGGAAACACTTGTCCTGGTTCCTGACGAACCTTACCTAACCTAACCTAACTAGAGAGAGCAAACATTACATATATTTAGTGAGAGTAGGCCTACCTTACACGGGTAAGGTAAGTCTATAAGGTTTACAAGAATTATGAGACTTACCTTGGTGCCTACGCCCGTCTGGCTGATCTCCAGACCCAGGTCTTTGTTGATGTTCTCCCGCATGTCCTCTGTGGTGAGGGAGATGGTGGTTAGTGTTGTGATTGTGCATATTAGTGGTGATGGTGGTTAGTGTTGTGGTGGTGCATAGTAGTGGTGATGGTGGTTAGTGTTGTGGTGGTGCATAGTAGTGGTGATGGCGGTTAGTGTTGTGGTGGTGCATAGTAGTGGTGATGGTGGTTAGTGTTGTGGTGATGCATAGTAGTGGTGATAGTGGTTAGTGTTGTGGTTGTGCATAGTAGTGGTGATGGTGGTTAGTGATGTGGTTGTGCATAGTAGTGGTGATGGTGGTTAGTGATGTGTTGTGCATAGTAGTGGTGATGGTGGTTAGTGTTGTGGTTATGCATAGTAGTGGTGATGGTGGTTAGTGATGTGGTTGTGCATAGTAGTGGTGATGGTGGTTAGTGATGTGGTTGTGCATAGTAGTGGTGATGGTGGTTAGTGTTGTGGTGGTGCATAGTAGTGGTGATGGTAGTTAGTGATGTGGTGGTGCATAGTAGTGGTGATGGTGGTTAGTGTTGTGGTGGTGCATAGTAGTGGTGATGGTGGTTAGTGTGTGTGGTGGTGCATAGGAGTGGTGATGGTGGTTAGTGTTGTGGTGGTGCATAGTAGTGGTGATGGTGGTTAGTGTTGTGGTGGTGCATAGGAGTGGTGGTGGTTAGTGATGTGGTTTTGCATAGTAGTGGTGATGGTTAGTGATGGATGGTGGTGGTAGGGACAGTGATGGATGGTGGTGGTGGTGGTAGGGACAGTGATGGATGGTGGTGGTGGTGGTAGAGACAGTGATGGATGGTGGTGGTGTTGGTAGGGATAGTGATGGATGGTGGTGGTGGTTGTAGGGACAGTGATGGATGGTGGTGGTGGCGGTAGAGACAGTGATGGATGGTGGTGGTGGTGGTAGGGACAGTGATGGATGGTGGTGGTGGTGGTAGGACAGTGATGGATGGTGGTGGCAGGGACAGTGAAGGATGGAGGTGGTGGTGGTAGAGACAGTGATGGATGGTGGTGGTGGTGGTGGTGGTGGTAGGGACAGTGATGGATGGTGGTGGTGGCGGTAGAGACAGTGATGGATGGTGGTGGTGGTGGTAGGGACAGTGATGGATGGTGGTGGTGGTGGTAGGGACAGTGATGGATGGTGGTGGTGGCGGTAGAGACAGTGATGGATGGTGGTGGTGGTGGTAGGGACAGTGATGGATGGTGGTGGTGGTGGTAGGGACAGTGATGGATGGTGGTGGTGGCGGTAGAGACAGTGATGGATGGTGGTGGTGGTGGTAGGGACAGTGATGGATGGTGGTGGTGGTGGTAGGGACAGTGATGGATGGTGGTGGTGGCGGTAGAGACAGTGATGGATGGTGGTGGTGGTGGTAGGGACAGTGATGGATGGTGGTGGTGGTGGTAGGGACAGTGATGGATGGTGGTGGTGGCGGTAGAGACAGTGATGGATGGTGGTGGTGGTGGTAGGGACAGTGATGGATGGTGGTGGTGGTGGTAGGGACAGTGATGGATGGTGGTGGTGGCGGTAGAGACAGTGATGGATGGTGGTGGTGGTGGTAGGGACAGTGATGGATGGTGGTGGTGGCGGTAGAGACAGTGATGGATGGTGGTGGTGGTGTAGGGACAGTGATGGATGGTGGTGGTGGTGGTAGGGACAGTGATGGATGGTGGTGGTGGCGGTAGAGACAGTGATGGATGGTGGTGGTGGTGGTAGGGACAGTGATGGATGGTGGTGGTGGTGGTAGGGACAGTGATGGATGGTGGTGGTGGCGGTAGAGACAGTGATGGATGGTGGTGGTGGTGGTAGGGACAGTGATGGATGGTGGTGGTGGTGGTAGGGACAGTGATGGATGGTGGTGGTGGCGGTAGAGACAGTGATGGATGGTGGTGGTGGTGGTAGGGACAGTGATGGATGGTGGTGGTGGTGGTAGGGACAGTGATGGATGGTGGTGGTGGCGGTAGAGACAGTGATGGATGGTGGTGGTGGTGGTAGGGACAGTGATGGATGGTGGTGGTGGTGGTAGGGACAGTGATGGATGGTGGTGGTGGTTGTAGGGACAGTGATGGATGGTGGTGGTGTTGGTAGAGACAGTGATGGATGGTGGTGGTGGTGGTAGGGACAGTGATGGATGGTGGTGGTGGTGGTAGGGACAGTGATGGATGGTGGTGGTGGTGGTAGGACAGTGATGGATGGTGGTGGTGTTGGTAGGGATAGTGATGGATGGTGGTGGTGGTTGTAGGGACAGTGATGGATGGTGGTGGTGGCGGTAGAGACAGTGATGGATGGTGGTGGTGGTGGTAGGGACAGTGATGGATGGTGGTGGTGGTGGTAGGGACAGTGATGGATGGTGGTGGCAGGGACAGTGAAGGATGGAGGTGGTGGGTGTAGAGACAGTGATGGATGGTGGTGGTGGTGGTGGTGGTGGTAGGGACAGTGATGGATGGTGGTGGTAGGGACAGTGATGGATGGTGGTGGTGGTGTTAGAGACAGTAATGGATGGTGGTGGTAGGGACAGTGATGGATGGTGGTGGTAGGGACAGTGATGGATGGTGGTGGTGGTGGTAGAGACAGTGATGGATGGTGGTGGTGGTGGCAGGGACAGTGATGGATGGTGGTGGTGGTGGTGGTAGAGAGAGTGATGGATGGTGGTGGTGTTGGTAGGATAGTGATGGATGGTGGTGGTGGTGGTAGGGACAGTGATGGATGGTGGTGGTAGAGACAGTGATGGATGGTGGTGGTGTTGGTAGGGGGAGTGATGGATAGTGGTGGTGGTGGTAGAGACAGTGATGGATGGTCGTGGTGGTAGAAGGTTTAGTGATGAATGGTGGTACTAGTGGTGGTAGTGGTGGTAATGGTGGTTATAGGTGGTTGTGAGTCATGATACAGACAATAAAATCGGGGATAGTGATTGGTGGTAAAGATAATATTGATGGAAGAGGTGATAGTGAGTGATGGTGAGTGATGGTGAGTGATGGTGAGTGATGGTGAGTGATGGTGAGTGAGGGTGAGTGATGGTGAGTGATGGTGAGTGAGGGTGAGTGAGGGTGAGTGATGGTGAGTGATGGTGAGTGATGGTGAGTGATGGTGAGTGAGGGTGAGTGATGGTGAGTGATGGTGAGTGATGGTGAGTGATGGTGAGTGATGGTGAGTGAGGGTGAGTGATGGTGAGTGATGGTGAGTGATGGTGAGTGATGGTGAGTGATGGTGAGTGAGGGTGAGTGAGGGTGAGTGATGGTGAGTGATGGTGAGTGATGGTGAGTGATGGTGAGTGATGGTGAGTGATGGTGAGTGATGGTGAGTGATGGTGAGTGAAGGTGAGTGAGGGTGAGTGATGGTGAGTGATGGTGAGTGATGGTGAGTTGATGGTGAGTGATGGTGAGTGAGGGTGAGTGATGGTGAGTGATGGTGAGTGATGGTGAGTGGTGAGTGATGGTGAGTGATGGTGAGTGATGGTGAGTGATGGTGAGTGATGGTTGAGTGATAGTGAGTGATGGTGAGTGATGGTGAGTGAGGGTGAGTGATGGTGAGTGATGGTGAGTGATGGTGAGTGATGGTGAGTGATAGTGAGTGATGGTGAGTGATGGTGAGTGATGGTGAGTGATGGTGAGTGATGGTGAGTGAGGGTGAGTGATGGTGAGTGAGGTGAGTGATGGTGAGTGATGGTGAGTGATGGTGAGTGAGGGTGAGTGATGGTGAGTGATGGTGAGTGATGGTGAGTGATGGTGAGTGATGGTGAGTGATAGTGAGTGATGGTGAGTGATGTTGAGTGATGGTGACGTGATGGTGAGTGATGGATGAGTGATGGTGAGTGATGGTGAGTGATGTGAGTGATGGTGAGTGAGGGTGAGTGATGTGATGATGGTGAGTGATGGTGAGTGGTGAGTGATGGTGATGATGGTGAGTGATGGTGAGTGATGGTGAGTGATGGATGAGTGATGGTACGTGATGGTGAGTGATGGTGGCAGTGGGAGTGATGGTGAGTGATGGTGAGTGATGGTGAGTGATGGTGTGGAGGTGAGTGATGGTGAGTGAGGGTGAGTGATGGTGAGTGATGGTGAGTGAGGGTGAGTCTGATGGTGAGTGATGTGAGATGATGGTGAGTGATGGTGAGTGATGGTGAGTGATAGTGAGTGATGGTGAGTGATGTTGAGCTGATGGTGAGTGATGGTGAGTGATGGTGAGTGATGGTGATGATGGTGAGTGAGGGTGATGCATGGTGAGTGATGGTGAGTGATGGTGAGTGATGGTGAGTGATGAGTGAGTGATGGTGAGTGATAGTGAGTATGGTGAGTGATGGTGAGTGATGGTGAGTAGGGTGAGTGATGGTGAGTGATGGTGAGTCATGGTGAGTGAGGGTGATGATGGTGAGTGATTAGTGATGATGGTTGAGTGTGGTGAGTGATGGTGAGTGATGGTGAGTATGGTGCAGTGATGGTGAGTGATAGTGGTGATGGTCGAGTGATGGTGAGTGATGGTGAGTTGATCGGTGAGTGATGGTGAGTGTAGTGAGTGATGGTGAGTGTATGGTGAGTGATGTGATGATGGTGAGTGATGGTGAGTGAGGGTGAGTGATAGTGAGTATGGTGAGTGATGGTGAGTGATGGTGAGTGATGGTGAGTGATAGTGAGTGATGGTGATGATATGAACTGATGGTGAGTGATGGTGAGTGATGGGAGTGATGGTGAGTGATGGTGAGTGATAGTGAGTGATGGTGAGTGATGGTTGTGACGGTGAGTGACGGTGAGTGATGGTGATTGCGGTGAGTGATGGTGAGTGATGGTGAGTGAGGGTGAGTGATAGTGAGTGATGGTGAAGTCGATGGTGAGTGAGGGTGTGTGAGGGTGAGTGATAGTGAGCTGATTGGTGAGTGATAGTGAGTGATGGTGAGTGATGGTGAGTGATGGTGAGTGATAGTGAGTGATGGTGAGTGATGGTGAGTGATGGTGAGTGATGGTGAGTGAGGGTGATCTGAGTGAGTGAGGGTGAGTGATAGTGAGTGATGGTGAGTGATGGTGA